GAACAAGTGGTGCTGCAGCAGGGGAAGGTAAAGCCATTGTTTGAAAGAGAGAAAGACAAGAAAAGGTGTTTAGATCGTATGCTCTGATACCATGTACGATATAGATATTTCTGTATATTGATAATAATAATTTACAAAGGTATTTATACACAAGATATTAGAGATTTGATCTTATCAGAATCTACACCGATATAATCAAATCATTATATGATTATCTCTAAATAATAGTCATTATCCTAACATCAACATCAACATTTTGACCCCATGTCATTAAAAAGGATCTACACTTAGCAGTTTAAGGAAACTTTAAAACCCCATTATCAAAACGACTCTCCTCCATCTTTGATGAGTTCCACTGAAACTTCAAAGGAGTTAGAACAAAGTCTTGTCTTTTATTCTTTAGTTCTTTTTATTTGCTTAATTTTCTTTTATTATTAATGTTTTGAACTTTGTATTAAGGCTATAAAAGCCTTCTTTGCTTTTTGTTACAGACACACATTTTTCATATAATAAACTTATAAGTTTTCTGTCTCAAAGTATTTTTTTTTGATTCATTGTTCTTGCAATCTAGTTTGTGTGTGGATTCCTCAAATTAGTTTTGTGTTTGTATCTTGTATAATTGTGAGGAGTGAGCCCTTGGATCAAGTCATGTACCTTGGTATATTAGCAAATTGAATCACGAATCTGTTTAGCCTCCCGCTCAACCCTCATCCATTCCGCAAGTGCCAAACTCTTGAATTATATGATAATTGCTTAGGTTCCATAGCTTATATCATTTTGGTAAAAGAGCACAAACACTCATATCCAAGTGTTTTCAATTCCCTTCTCTTTCATTTCTGCTTTTGATTTCTATTTATTTTAAAATCATTTAACATATATATATATATATGCTTTATTCTTGGAATTTTGTTTTGATTAATTGTGCTTCTTCATAAATTAAAAAAGAAAATCTTTCTTTTTATATTGTTTCTGTTTAAAAAAAGTTATTTTAAAAAAAAATTATTTGCAATTTACGTAGTTTTAAACTTTTTGTTGATAAAAAAAATATTAAACAATTTATTATAGAGGAAATGCTCCAAAATAACTCAGACTGAGTAAATAATGTGGAACGGATCCTCCATTGAGGGAAAGTTGTGAAAATGACTCATATTTTACAGATTTTTAAATATCAGCGCTACCCTTCTAACTACTTTTATTTGTAGTCTAATGGCAGGCTGAATGCAGACTACTGGCATACTGATTAGTCTTACAACTGAATGTATACTATTGGTAGACTAATGGCAAACTAAATGCAAATTACTGACAGACTAATGACAGATTAAAAACATACTAGTGGATCCCTCTTATGGGTCATTTTAGGAAGGGTCATGTTTTGTAATAAAATTTCCAAGTGTATCATTTCAAAAATTATTCTTTTCTTATAAGTTCTGTTTTTTCTCTATTCCTAAGATCCAACTTTGATATTGCTTTGAATTAATTTTACAAGGAATTATGGACACACTACAAGCTCAAATGGATAAAATGGTGGAAATGATGTCTTCATGACAAGAAAACTTTGGAGCAATCTATACCAGAATGGATGCCATGGAAAACACATCTTGGAGCACAGATTGAATGTGTTGAACAACAACCACGTCTCGGCCCTGTACGAAACGTCACTCCACCACCAACAGCAACAGGGTCCAACAATTCTCAACAATCAGCAACTATGGAGAACACCGGACTTGTTCAAGAAGAAGACCCTCTAAACCGTCAAAACTCACAAGATCACTTAAACTTAAGAAGAGATCAATCCCATCGTAACCGGCTGAGAGAAGAAGAGCCTAACCGAGCAATGGCACCACGAAATTATAGTGTATAGCTGCTTAGGTCCTTATTTAGTCACGCCCACCTAACGACTAAATACAATCATCAAAAAAAAAGAAACAAAAAACTGCAATAGAAATGTTACAATAAGCTATACATAGCAAGAACAATACAACAATCTACAAATACAATTCATTTTTATTACCAAACAAAATTCAAATAGGATATATACTATACGCATTATACTATCAGAAAATTCCTTTTTCAAATCAACCATAAGCAAACTCCATCTAAAAATCATACGTCTATTTCGTCAAGAATAGAACATCAACTACACAATCAATTATAGTGCAAATACTACAAGCAAATAACTCTACTTTTAGATTAACTTATATCTCACTTAACATGTTATGGATGACACAACATCAAAACGTTAACCAAGATTTTAATAAAATTTAGTCAGACATCTACATTATCATGTCGACCACATAACACACCATGCCTCAAAATCTTTTTCTTAAATTGAAAATTTCAACCCAAAGACATCAAGAAGACTAGGTGATAAAAAGAACAAAAATACAAAAGAAAGGTTAACCATTCCTCTTCTTTCAGTCGAGTCACTTTGTACATTTCTTGATAATCTACAAAGCCAAAAAATAATAACACATTATTTTGCAGTCACAAATTTCACCACAAATGAATTTCAGATAGGTTATACTACAAAAAAGCACACTACAAGAATTATCCGATTTGTGACGGACAAAACGATCACAAGTCAATAACAAATTATCAGTACAGATGGATTTGCTATGGAAACCGTCGCAATTCGTTAGTCGCAAATTAGTCACAAATTTTGCGGTAGAACAAAATTCATTACAAATACGTAGCAAATTTGCGAAGGAAAGAAAGAGTTGTAAATCCATCGTAACCCAAATCTATCGCAGATTTGTGATGAATTTGAGAGTGCGATAAATTTGTCGTGAAAGGTACATCGTAAATCCATCGTAAATTATTAAATATTTTATTCAAAAACTTAGAAAAAAAAATTTAACAAAAAAACATAAACAATATTAACCAAAATATAACAAAAATATTTCTAAATATTAAAAAACACATGAATTTAATTATATTCTTAAAATTATAACAATTTAATAGTTTGAAGATCTAACAAAAATTCAATTATATATCTAATAAATTCTAAATCTAACAAATTCAAACCTAAATCTAACAAGTCATAAATCTAAAAATTCCCAAACCTAAATCTAAAGATTCATAAATCTAACAAAATTCAAATCAAAAATCTTACAAAATACAAATACTAACAATTTTTAAATCTAACAAATTCTAAAAATTCAATTTAACAAATCATAAAACTAACAAAATATAAATTATAAATCTAACAAATTACAAATCCTAAAATAAAACAAATTTACCTAATTAATCTAACAAAGAGAGAGAAAGCTAGCCATCCATGTTGGAGAGAAAGGGACTGGCGGCAGGGCAAAGGCGGTGGTGGTGAACGGTGACTCTGGTACATGGCGGTGGAGGCGAACGGCCAACAATAGAGGAGAGAGAGAGAGAGAGAGAGAGAGAGAGAGAGAGAGAGAGAGAGAGAGAGAGAGTTTCTGAATAAAAGTAGAAGAGAAAGAGATAGTGGCTAAGAGAAGGAAAAGAGAGATAGAGATTAAGAGAGGAAGACAAGAAGAAAATCAATTTAATAACATATATTGCGATGGATTTGCGACGGGTCCATCGCGATATCTTCACAAGGTTTTAATACATTTTTCAGTTTAAGGTGTAGGGTATCGTTAATGCTAATCCTCCCACGCAAATTCCTCTCTAATTTGTGACATATAAATGAGTTTTTTTTATAAAAAAACCATCAAAAATGCATATATACATATTGAATTTTATTTTAATATGGTTAGAAGTGTTTATTCATACTATCAAAATTATACTTACTATACGTTTTCAAAAAATTGTATATTGTAATAAGTACCCCAAGCATTTCTCTTGTAACTCTTTTACTTATCTATTATCATTAACTATATCTTATGTTGATTTTAAATTGATATACATTTTTCAAATTTTAGATATGGTATCATTAAAAAGATCATCTATTTTGATTATACACACTTTTAATTATCACCAAATGAATAGATTTGTGACGGATCCATCACAGTTCTCTTGCAAAAGAGTTATTATCCAGAACCATCGAAAATACTTTTAGAATTGTATTCAATTTTATTTTCAGATGGTTAAAAGTATGTATTCATCCTATCAAATATATATTTATAATCAGTTTTTGAGAGATTATATTTTTCTCTTATATTAACTATATCTGTAGCAAAACTGTTGCAATTCCGTTGCAATTTTGCGACATACTCATTCTGTCTCAAGTCACGTGTTTTCTTGTAGTGCCATGTTTCAGCATTGGAGTAAGATTCCTGTTTACTTTCCTTTGCTTCTTCTTTATCTAAGCTACTAGTTTTAGCTCTTTTCATCAAATTCAATTTTGGGGGGTTTTGGTTTACAGATCTAGTTCAGGCATAAGTTTGGTTTTAGGTGCTGGATTCCTTTGATCTCCCGTTTATTCTAAATAATTTTGATTTTTTTTTTTTTTTGCTTCTTGTTCTCGATTTACCTTTTAGACTTGATTTCTGACAGCTTTTCTGTTTTGAGATTGTCAGACTTTCTTTATTTGTTTTAATGGAAACAAGTTTCATTTCTCTTCATTTCAATCTATCACTTTTTTTTTGGAAGATTTGATGTTATCTGATCTGGATCGTCAACTCCTCAACTTTGCTTTACTGATATGATCAAAGAAGAGATCTATTCATATTGTGAAAATTGTTATCATGTTGTCGTCAAAAATATAAGAAGTCCGTCTATTATTGTGGATATGGAAACATTTTTTGACCTTTTTACTAACATTTTCAAGATTTGGAACACGATTGTTTTGTTATCGCTAATATATCATCAAGAAACAATTTTTTTATGAAATTGTTGGGAAAGATCGTTGATTTCTCTTTTGTATTTTATATGTCAGTTGTAATCATTCAAAATAAAAATCAATAAAACAAAGTGTTAAAAAAAAGAAGTTGAATGTATTACTGATTACAGATGACAGCTATATATGTGGCTGGTTTTTCCTGTCGACCAATATGGAGATGCAATTATTAAGTGGTAACAGGTACAACAGCTACGATCGAATCCCTTGTTTAAAACCAACCCGATCGTTGTCTGCACACATATTATCACACTCATCACTGCCACAAGAACGATCCACCACGCTTGCTCTTACTCTCCTACTCTTTCTCTTATCTCCAATGGAACCAGAAATTCTAACCGACACGATCGTGCTCCACCACGGCGAGACCGAGACACAGACAGAGTTAACAGAGTTCGAGAAGAATCAGGAACGGTACCAATCCCTAATCTCCACTTTTCCTCGCGAGGAAGGCTGGGGACCTGAAGATCCCCTGATTCAATACGGTGGTCACTGGTGGCTACAGTTTTTCCTTGAAGGTTGCCTTCACGCGCAAGACTTCTTTCAAGCACGACCCAAAGACTTCTTCGTCTGTAGCTACCCAAAGACAGGCACCACATGGCTAAAAGCGCTAACTTTCGCCATCGCCAATCGATCACGATTCGAAGATGCCTCGAATCCTCTCCTAAAACGTAACCCTCACGAGCTTGTTCCTTACATCGAGATCGATTTCCCTTTCTCCCCTGAAATAGATGTTCTTAACGACAACGGAAGCACTCTGTTTTCGACCCATGTCCCACATGGATCATTACCCGACTCGGTTGTGAAATCGGGTTGTAAGATGGTTTACATCTGGAGAGATCCGAAGGACACTTTCATCTCCATGTGGACATTCATCCAGAAGGAGAGGTCGGAACTTGGACCAGTTCCTCTCAACAGTCTTGACATGTGTTTTGATATGTACTGTCGTGGTCTGTCTGCGTATGGTCCTTATCTTGATCATGTCTTGTCGTATTGGAAGGCTTACCAAGAGAATCCAGATCGGATTTTGTTCCTAAAGTACGAGGACATGAGACCTGATCCTTTGCCGTACGTGAAGAGATTAGCTGAGTTCATGGGTTATGGATTCACGGCTGAGGAAGAGGAGAGAGGGGTCGCTGAAAAACTAGTGAATCTTTGCAGCTTCGAGACGTTGAAGAATCTTGAAGCTAACAAAGGAGATAATGTGAGAGAGGATCAAGCTGCTTACTATGCGAATAGTGCATTTTTCAGGAAAGGCAAGGTTGGAGACTGGGCCAATTATCTGACTTCGAAGATGGCTGATCGTATCGATGGGATAATGCAAGAGAAATTCAAAGGTACCGGTTTGCTTGAGCATGGTAAATGATGAGGTGGTATCATCTAATGAAAACAAAACAAGACAAAAACATATTTGGTCTAAAAGTCATCTTTTCTTTTAGTTTCCCTTATTTCATAAGCATATAATAATAGTAGGGCACACTTCCCCTGTTCAGAGAGTTTGTGAACAGAGAACCCTTATTATAATTAATCATTAAGACCCTTTGGGTAACCGTTCGATTCAGCAAACCGAACCGAACTGAACCAGTTAGAGAGAAAGAGGAAGACAGAACGAAAAATAAAAATGAAATACTTTTTTGTCAATTTTCCCTATCCACTTATAATCTGCCACGTGTCCGTTCTTAAATAAGAACAAAGATCCTAATTTAGACACTGGTCTAAAAATTAAGACATTCCTTATAATTTTTTTATTCAATTATATTCTTAAGAATATTTATTAGATCCCTTGGTGTTACCATTGGGGTTGGTCTTACTTGTTCTAATCACTTATGTGTAGGTATTTGCTTCCTTGTATATCAAAAATGCAGCGGTTTAACGACCACAATTGAGTTTTTTAGTTATTAATTTTTAATTTAATTATTTTAATAATTAAAAGTAGTATATCCGAATGGTAACATCATAATATAGGTTTTATACACTTTTCTTATCATATGCAATACTTTCTTTCTTTCGATCAGCCAAGACTGAGGCTAATATTTTCTTCTTTTCGATCACTTAAGACTCAAGCGAACCTTTGTTCACTAAAGTTAGATATTTTTAATTTATTTATGTTAATTATACATAAATTTACACTTATACAATATATAAGAAATTAGAAGTAATTATTTATCTCTTAAACTTGTTTCTGTATTATTTTTAAAAACTCTAATTTGTAAATATTTAGGTTATTGTTATATCAAAAGTATTTAATTAAAATATTTATAATTCTCCTTGAATTAATATTTAATAACCTTATTTTTAATATTTGATTTATGTATCATCTATTTGTTTTAAATTTAAGATTAATTATTATTATAACTTACATATTTTTATCATATTATAAATTAATTAATATATTTAGTACAAATAGTATTGTATGGTACACAGTAATTTATTTTAATACTAGTAATCTTATAAACTGAAATTACTTAATTAATATTAATAAATATTTTATTACTTAGGATTTTATATCATACAAAGCTAAATAATACTGACATATATTTTATAAATATATTCAGTTTACATAATTAATATATATATACACATATACCATATATTTATCTTATAGTAATATACCGTATATGCATATCAAATATTCAAACTAATTATAATTATTGAAAAATATATTTTACAGCAAATAAATAATTATGTATGTCTATCTCTAATAATAAAATATATAAATATATAAATATGTAATTAACAAGGAAATGTAATTTTGTTAAAAACATTATTTGATTTGTGCAAAGCATAAAAAAGAAAGTTTTATAGATTGTAGTGATACTTATTATTAGTTTCTAACAAACTAAAATTATTTTTTAATTTTATTAACAATAGATATGAAGTCTAATTGTCGATGAAGCACAAATTCTTCGAAGCGGAATGATTCGACTTTCGGAGAAATTCCAACTTCTCTCAGCAAAACAACCATAAGGGTAAATATATTTTTTTAGAAAAAAATTAAATTATATAAATTTAATAAAATAATTAGTATAATAATTTTAAAATTTGTAGAACAAAGACAAAGAAAAATACAAATAATCATACATTATGGAAAAAATTTAATAGAATTGTTCGATAAAGCAATTGCGATGAATAAATTCACTACAAAGAATCATAATCATTTTGGAAGAGAGTGTATGGTTGAGAAGTTTAACAGTGCGTTTAACATGAATATAATTTATGGTTATTTTGAGAACAAGCTTGATGAATTCAAAAAAAATTACAAGAGATAGAAATATCTTATGAGTTTTACTGGTATTTCGGTGGATCCTGAGACATCCATGATCTATGCATCTGACGCATGGTGGAAAGAGCGTGAATTTGTAAGTATACATAATTTTTATAATCATTAAAATATGTATTTAAATTTAAGTACCAAATAATTTGATGGCTCTAAATTTATAAGGATGCAAAATAACAAAAGCTTTCAACTGAAAACCCCCATATTTTTGGGATGTGATGGTGTGATATTTCGTATTACATGATGTCCAATCACAGTCTCAACATTCTGCGGACCAAAGAAGAAGAGAATTGATAAATGAGCATGAAAACGACCTTCATGACTCTGACACTGATAGTGGTGACATGCCCGAAACACAAGTACCTGAGACACAAGAAGAGGAAGACATATATCGTGTAACAGTTGACGATGATACACCCCGTGTCAATAAAGCGGTCCAAAATCCCGCTCGGAGAGGCCAGCAAGGATCAAGGTTAAATTTGCAGACAAACGTTAGTCGTGGGAGTACTTCGGAAAGGTTAGGTCAAACGTCACGACCTTCTACTGGTGGTGGTTCACGAGGAGGTCGGAGAAGACAATCGTTTGAAACAACCATACAAGACACTATAGCTGGATATACAGAGTTCCAACAACGAACTTTACAACAACTTCGCCCAGGTGTTTTTGACCAAAATGACTACGACGAGTGAAAAAAATCATAAGACATATTCCTTGATTTAAAAATTCCAAAAAGCAAATTTTATTGGGTATGCCTTAATACACTGAAAAAGTTGGTATTTTGGCTGAAGTATTTTCTTCATATAACTAGAAGCAGTGACGAGGATAAGCTACAACTGTTAGAAGTGATGACTGGTGTTTACAAAAACAACGAAGATGTGCCAAATCTGTAAGGCTCGGGACCATCATATGAGAGTCCACATTCAGAAGGACTATCATCTGGCAGTCCATTCTCGGTGGATAACAGTACAGGAGGATTATGGGCACCAAATGGTCAACAATGGGGCACACCACAAAATGCTCAACAATGGGGTTCATCTCGAGCTGCTCCACAATGGGGAACACCACCAACTGCTCAACCGTGGAGAACACCAACAAATGCTCAACAATGGCGCACACCACTGAACGCTCAACAATGGGGCACACCACTAAAAGCCCCACAATGGGCCACACCACCAAATAATTCACAATGGGCGGGGTTTTCACCAAACCAGACACAAAATTATCAATAAGGGGGGTCCTCACGAATAACTCCGAGCAATGTTCAATATAGATTTTCAGTTGGAATTCAAGAACAAAGTATGATAAATCCTCTACAAAATATTTCAGATTCTGCAGCTGTAAGAAATTCAGAAAATGCTCAAGAAACATCATTACACGGTCTAGATTTCACAAATTATTATGAGCATGCCCGTAAATCACCAACACATACATATGGAAGTCTATTCAACATATGGGGAAGCTCAAGAAAAACATATATAAATATATATGAATGTCATGAAAGTGATTCAGAAGACGAAAATTAGTTTATGATAGTCATATTTTATCATTCCCGTTTCTGTAATAAAAAAAATAAAATCTATTTTGATTATTGAGTTTTAATATTTTCTGGTACTGTTTAATATAAATTTATATTTGCTTAATGATGTGTTTTCATTTATGTTTACAATTTCAGGCTTTTCGTATATGTTAGTTGAGAGCACAATGATTGCAAAACCTAAGTTACAAAGAGAGACTTGAATTGTGAAATTTTGAAAATAAACAATTTGCAGAGTTAGTAATTCAACCAACACTCACTTACTATCAGAAATATTTTGAAAGAGCACCAGTACAACCTGAAGGAGGTTTGGGATGGAGAAATATTTGGCATCGACTACAACAAGATGATTCTGCTTGTCTTTAGTTACTGCGAATGTCATTTCCATGTTTCACAACATTGTGTGAGACGCTTCAAACAGATTATGGACTACAACCAATATTAAATATAAGCATTGAAGAAAGTGTTGCTATGTTTCTATGGATATGTGGGCACAATAAAGTTCAAAGAGATGTTGGTTTGAGATTTGGCCGAAATCAAGAGACTGTGCAGAGAAAATTTATTGAAGTTCTTACAACTTAACAACTGGCATGTGATTATATTAGAACTCCAGCAAGAGAAGAGCTACACCGGATTCCTGAAAGAATTTCCGTAGATCAAACATATTATCCATTTTTAGTGGATTCGTTGGAGCTACGGATGGGACACATGTATGTGTAAAAGTGAAGCCTGGGTGGAATGTATTGGAATTGACATGATCATGCATCTTTAAACATTATGGTGATATGTGATATGCATATCTTATTCACATATATTTGGAATGGAGCACTAGGATCATCCCATGATACTGCTGTTCTGGCGATGGCATAACAAAGCGACCATGACTTCCATTTTCCTCCATTAGAGAAATATTATCTCGTTGATTCAGGTAATCCAAACAAACAAGGATTTTTAGCTCCATATAGATCATCACAAAATGGAGTTGTGAGATATCATATGTCTCAGTTCAACTCTGGTCCTGCTCCTAGGAATAAGCAAGAGCTGTTCAATAGATATCATGCACCATTGCGTTCTGTAATCTAGAGGAGTTTTGGAGTTTGGAAGAAAAAATACAGGATTCTTTCGGATTTTTTAAGATATAATATAAATGTTCAAAAGAGAGTGATAATGACTACAATGGGATTACATAACTTTATCAAAAATTTAATTTTTTCAGATGCAGATTTTGCATATATAATGACAGATAGAAATAAACAACAGAGTTTTGGAACCTGACGCAGGTGCATAAACACAGCTGGGGATAGCAGATAGAGAACATATGGTGCAGATCAGAGACAACATTGCAGATATGTTGCGGCAAAATCAAACTACTCAAAAAATTTGTAATTTTTTTTTGATATTATATTTGTCTTTTTGAATAAATTAACACGTTTAATGTATTATTAGTTAGTTATACACTTAAATTTTTAATTTAAATAAATTATAATATTTAAGATTCATAAAAAAAATTGTATCACTAAATATAAAATTTAAATTTATAATAACAATATTATTATTTTAATATTCAAATTTACTTACTTTTTAAATTTCGCACCATTTGTTAATATTTTCACCGATCAAAGATTAATTTGAATCACTAACTAGTTTTTCACCAATTAAAAAATTATCATTGTACTTTTTACATTAAACACACTAGTTCCACATAGTGCATGTTTCACAGTTTAATCGTACGGCTTTCTAAATCCACAGTTTCGATACAACACAATATATTATCACCATTATTTTATACCGTACTTTTTATATTAACAGTACTAATTTTATATTTATACGAAGAAAAAACCAGTCTAGAGAGAGTGGCGCTGGCATTGACAGCTCATGGTTCATCATCCAAAAGAGCATCAAATCTCGGTGAGGTAAATAATATATGATTTTAAAGTATTTTAATAGATTCTCACAAAGTATTAAAAAAAAAAAAAAATGAGAGAGCATCTAGAATCTTTTCAAATAAGAATTTGTGAAATATTATAAACCCTATTTAGTATTTGATTTTTTTTATTGATTTAATTCTTTTTATTAAAATTTAATTATATAATTAATTGATATTAAAAATTATTATTAATTTGTTAAGAACTACTGATGGAATGCTCTTACTCTTCCGTCTTTTCACAGTGACGACTGTGTGTTCTGTATTTGAATGGAGTTACCAAGTTTTGGCGGCAGTATAGTCTTTAATTTGTTGTTGTCAGATTAATTCTATATGTAGTACGTTATAAACTAGAACAGCAATTTTTGCTCCTTTTTGATATAACAGTTTTTTTGTTTTGTTTTTTTAGTCCAAATGTATTGTTTTTTTTTTTAAAAGGAATTGGCTTTGTAGTCATTTTTCTTTGCCTGATGTGTAGAATCTTGATCTTTTACAATTTTCTTTTGTAAATTAAGAAGTTCTAGGCTAAGTTTTGTAAATTTCCGATGTAGGTTTTCGGAATCGGTGTTTTGTCTACGGATTTCTACTGGCTGCTATCATAGAGGTCTAGTTTATCGTTTATGTTCTTTCTTTAATTTTTGTTTGTATCTATGCATTTGTATTTAGATTTTGGTATTTCTGCTTTTCTTAATTATTTCTGTATTCTGTCACAAACTTCTAAAATGGTATAAAATTTTACATTTTACCAAAAAAAAAGTATTAGAAAAGTTTTTTAAAAAGTTTTTAATAAATATTTACAATGACATATAAGTATAAAGAAGTTTTTAAACAATTAACATATAATCATTTTTATTAAAAAAATAACTTTACAATAGTCTTGTATATTTTTGGATAATAAAAATAAAAGTTACATTTTCAATGTAAAGAATAAACCAAAATAATTAGAAAACAATAAAATAAATATAATAATAATATAAATATATAAAACTGGAAATAAAATATTAAATTTATAAATTATTTTGTACAACGTACGGCTCAAGTTCTAGTTATAATGTATTAGGAGCTCAATTTTTTGAAAATAATTATAATAAAAACCTAAAAATGAAATTATAATGTAAATAATAATTTGAATATTTCTTTTAAAATAAATAAATAAAAGAGCTAAACAATTTTTTTTGCCATAAAACCTCTAGTTTTGCCGGGCCGGGGCTGCGTACTCCACGCCCTTTACTCTAGAATCCAACGAGAGTACGCATGATCTCCTCATTCATTTACGTACTATGACCGTATTTTACAAACAAACCGCAAGACGACATACATTTATTTGCTAACATGTCCACCTTTTTCTCTCTACCCTCACAAATCTGTTACAGTTGGATCAAATCACCATTGCTCTAATATCATCAAGGATCCAGAAACTGTGTATATTTCTTAATAATTCTTTACAAATAACGTCACTAAATTATTTTTATAAAGATTGGCAATAACCCTAAACATGATAAACCTATACAAAAAATTGTAAACAGGTCCAATAAATTCAAATATAAATATCTTTTATTTAATTTTACCTTTTTAGACATAAAAAAATCATAAAAGCTCATATGTAAAAGCAAAATAATAATCACCTAATCATGTAAGGTGTGATTCACATGGTGGACTTATTTGGCGAAAACTCGCAGATATTCATTTAGGAGACAGGTAGCGTTGCAGGAGTGATAAGCATTGGACATTTGCGGAATTGAAATTATGTTCACTTAACCAAATTAAAGATTATGTATAATTTTAATTTAATAGTTTAACACATGATTAACACTTTATTTGTTTGTTGCTGACAGTAAGGTCTAGACTAACGTGGGCTTGATGTCAAAAAAAAAAGACTAACGTGGGCTGTTCTTCTATATGTCACCACATCTTAATTAAAGTAACATTACCTTTTACGGAAATTAAATTGTGGTTTAGAATTTACCACTGAAGACAAATTCGTGATCGAACCACTTTCAACTTAACCCATATTAGATGACTGTGACAATACACGGGCACAATATGTGTTAATGGAACAGGTTGCTGACAGTACCGTCTAGAGCGTGAATTGTTCGTGAAAAATCGATCTATCTAATCTTTACACCACTACTATAAGAGTATCTCCGTCAAATATATTTCATGGAATATTTACCAACTTAATACTATAAATAATAAAAATTAAAAATTAAAAATTAAAAAAACTTTAGAATCAATCTTCAAATAAGAGATTTTTAGATACTTTGAAACTAGGAGTTTGGCCCGCACGCATGTGCATGCATAAATAGTTTTAAAAATTTAATTACATAAATATAATATCTAAATCGTTATAAATATTTAAATTTTTTGTAATATATAAAAAATTAGGTAGAGCAATTAAATTATAGGTCATAATAGCAAAATATGGTATAATTTTAACTAAATATTTTATTATAACAAAAGACCCATTTTATTATGTTAAGAGGCCAAATGGGTCAGACCCGTGGATAGCTGGTTGAGCGGGTTACCTGCTGTAGATTTGCGGGTCAGGCGTACATACCTGCAAATTTCATCATCTTCTTCATCTTTAATTAATCTTCCTCAATTTATCCAGTTATTTAGCCTCTAAATTCTCGAAGACTTCTTTGTATAAAACAAATATTTAAACTAAAATAAATTAAACACAGAAAATTATTTGAACTTATATATATATATATATATATATATATTCCAACTTCTCTTTGTATATTTGTTTAGCTTATGATTCGTGTGGACAACAAAAATGGGTTCTTTAGTTAAACATTGTTAGATTAATGTTATTTTGGATTATATAGTCGGTGCATGTGATGAAGACAATTCTCATAATTTTTATACAATTTGATGATATAATTAATGTTGCTTTGGATTATATTACGGAAAGACAATCTCAAGAAGACTGTTAAAAGTAGATAATCATACTTCGGTTAACAAAACGTGGTATACTCTAACTTCTCTTTGTATATTTGTTTATCTTCTATTTTGGGTGGACAACAAAAATAGATTCTTTAGTTAAACATTGTTAGATTAATGTTATTTTAGATTATATAGTCGGTAAATATGATGAAGATATGCTTTTTTATACAATTTAACATGTACAAATCTGTGCATGTAATAAAAAAATATAACATATGTTTTGTGTATGTGATAAAAAATGACAGTTTACAATTTATATTAATAATTAAATATTTTATATTTTTCAGTTTTCATAAATAATTATTTGAACTAAATAAAATTAAACACATAAAATTTTTTTTTGTCATGTCATAATCCACATGTGTTAGCAAATGCCATGTCATAATTACATCATCATTACACATCATCATTTCCATGTCACATTTAATTAGGTAAGATTAATATTTTTAACCAATGAAATTAAAACAAATGAGCATATTTCATTAAACTACATTGTCAATTAATAGGTAGAGGATACTGTTGTGTTGAAACACATGTCTTATTATGAGTGGTTTACTTTGTTTTTCATAAATCAAAATATACTATTGTCTATGATATAAGTTTAATAGTTTATAAGTTCTTTTTTAATTCTAATAAATTTTTTTATAATCCATATAATTAAATTAGATATCTATAATTTTAAATTATATAATATTATTTTTAATTCACTTAGTAAAAATTAGTTAAGAAAATCATATTAAATTAATAATTTAGTTGATACAAAATATAAAATAATCGAAAATAAATATAAACTTAATTTTTTTTTTTGATGAAATTTCAATTTATAAACTTAAAATTTGTTGGTGCATCAAATTAACAATTTTATTTTTACATATTAAAATTATAAATAATTCTTATTTTTCTTCTATAAATATAGAGTTCATCTTCATCTTATCATACATCACAAAAAAATATTACTTCTTCTCTTTTATCACTTAGATTATCAATCCAAATCATCCATTTAATTTTTCATCAAATGTTGTGGATCTTTTTAATAATCAAACAAGAAGGAAATACTACTAAAAATATTTAGTTAAGATAAAATTTAACATACATTATTAAATTAAGTTGTGCTAAAAAATAAGTTACATCAAAATTATTAAATTATTTAAAATACTTATATTATATTGTTAAGATACTCTCCAAAGTATCTCACCAATAGAAATGAAAATTTGTGATGGATTTCTCAAAATAAAATAAAACAAAAATAGTCTTATTATATTGATTAGATACCCAAAAAATATCTCACTAATAGAAATGCTCTTAGTGATAAATACACAAAATCATAGAGGAAAATCAATGCAAATCTATAGTCCTATGTATACTTTGTTTTTTTTCTGCTAAGTTTAAACAAACTTAATTAATATAGTCTTAGACTTAATATATATATATATATATATTTGTTTATCTGATTATTAAACCTTATGTGATATATAAAAAAAAATTTAAGAGTAA